CTCCCTTGAGCAACTTAAGTTCTAAGTTGAAAAGAGGGACAATAAATTGATAGTTCCAAAAAAATTATTTCAAATACTAATAAGTTCTGTGAAGCAGATAAATGGGATAACGTGCTAAGGAGTGGTTGGGGCTGTTTTGTGCACTGTGACAGGGAGACCCTCCGGAAGAAGTGATATATGAGTCGAGGTCAAAGAGACAGGGAGGAGGTAGCCAATCAGGAATCCACAGGAGGGGCCTGTCAGTCACCACAGATGCACTGAAGGGACAGAAAGGAGGGAAACATGACCAGAAAGGATAGGTGGAGGGGACATGGAAGGAGGTGTAGTAGAGAGGTATTCAGGGGTCCATGTGAGCCTCCTCAGTTCTCATGACGACAGTGCGTATTTTTGTATTGGTGATGGGCAGTTATTGGAGGGCCTTCAGTGGAGGAACATCATGGTTTGGTTTGTGCTTTAGAAATGCTCTTGCTGTTATTTGGAGGACGCCCAGGGAAGGGACAATAGTGGAAGCAGAAACCAGTAGAATAGGGCTTGGAGGTAAAGTGACTTCTCCAAGGTCACTTAGACACTGAAGATTGGAGTGAGGAGTGGATCCCTGACAGCTCATGCCCAAGGTCATACAGAAGGTCGGTGAGGAGGAGGCAGTATACTGTACGTGGTCTTCTGTGTGTTAGGGCATTGCTTCTCCTAGCTTATGGGAGAGACACATACCATGCCTCCTAGGGATCGATGACAGAGGACTGCTCTGTTTCTATTAAAAGGCCAATAAGGGAAAGAACGTCTGTGTGCTTTCCTTCCCTTTTTCTTGTTTGATTTTATTATGCTTAGTATTAAATGATTCCTCCATTTCTTTTTTTTTTTTTTTAATGTAACTTGACTAATGTTACTTCAGATTTGTATACTGAATCACTTCTTCCTAATTACAGGCCTTTGGTGGTTATTTTAAACTATTTTTCACCATGTCAAACTTGTGTTTTGAAAACAATTCAGAGAAAAGGATTTTAGAGCTAACTATAATTTGAATTTAACTCCTTCAATAAATAAAAGTATCCGATGCAGAAAATAGGAAAAATCAATTTTAGTTTTTAAGCTTAATCTTACCAAAGTTTCTTAAGTAAAACCAAGATCTTTATAATGTATTTATTTTTCTCATCAAACATTAAAACGTTTCAAACCTGAATGTTTTTATTTATTTATTTTATTTTTATTTTTTAATTAATTTTTTATTTATATGTGACAGTGGAAGGCATTACAATTCTTATTACACATTTAGAGCACAATTTTTCATTCTCTGGTTGTACACAAAGTATATTCATACCAATTAACATCTTTATACATGTACTTTGGATAATAATGTCCATCACATTCCACCATCATTTCTAACCCCATGCCCCCTCCCTTCACCTCCCACCCCTCTGCCCTATCTAGAGTTCGTCTATTCCTCCCATGCTCCCTCTCCCTACTCCACTATGAATCAGCCTCCTTATATCAGAGAAAATATTTTGCATTTTTTGGGAGGATTGGCTAACCTCAATTAGCATTATCTTCTCCATCCATTTACCTGCAAATGCCATGATTTCATTCTCTTTTATTGCTGAGTAATATTTCATTGTATATGATACATTTTTTTTATCCATTCATCTATTGAAGGGCATCTTGGTTGGTTCCACAGTTTAGGTGTTGTGAATTGTGCTGCTATAAACATTGATGTGGCTGTGACCCTGTAGTATACTGTTTTTAAGTCCTTTGGGTTGAGACCGAGGAGAGGGATAGCTAGGTCAAATGTTGGTTCCACTCCCAATTTTTAAAGAAATCTTCATACTGCTTTCCATATTGGCTGCAGCAATTTACAGTCCCACCAGCAATGTATGAGTGTGCCTTTTCCTCCACATCCTCACCAACACTTATTGTTGTTTGTCTTCATAATAGCTGCCATTCTGACTGGAGTAAGATGAAATCTTAGAGTAGTTTTGATTTGCATTGTTTCTCTAATTGCTAGTGATGATGAACATTGTTTAATGTATTTGTTGATTGATTGTATATCCTCTTCTGAGAAGTGTCTGTTCAGGTCCTTGGCCCATTTATTGATTGGGTTGTTTTTTTGGTGTTTAACTTTTTGAATTCTTTATAAACCCTTAGAGATTAGTGCTCTATCTGATGTGTGAGGGGAAAGATTTGCTCCCAAGATGTAGGCTCTCTTTTCACCCCCAGATTGTTTCTTTTGCTGCAAAGAAACTTTTTAGCTTCAGTGCATCCCATTTATTGATTCTTGATTTTAATTCTTGCGCCAAAGGAGTCTTATTAAGGAAGTTAGGACCTAATCCCACATGATGGAGATTAGGGCCTACTTTTCCTTCTATTAGACACAGGGTCTCTGAACAAACCTGAATATTTTTAAATGGACGAAACCACATAGAGTTATTTATCTCTAAGTAAAATAATTTTAAGATGAGAGCATTTGTGGGATTATTTGCGTTGTAATTTATAGCAATAACCCCTTGATCCTGGAATTAGGATAAAATACCTTTAGCAACTCTAGAGAGAATTTCAGGGAATCTTCAGTAAGAGACTAAACTATGCTGGTGAGCTTTTTTTCTATATAGTTGGCTCTCTCATTCATTCCTTGCTGGCATTAATTTGTTACCAACTATGTATCAGGCACAGATGCAAAAAAAATGGAGGTTCAAAAATGACTAAAAACAGCCTGTTCTCAAGCAGCTTACCAAGAAAGGTTAGCAGTCCATCAGCAATTGCAATATAAGGTAACAAATAAAATGGCATTTACTGGCTATGCTGGAAGTAAGCCCAGAAGCACCAGGCATAGGTATCTAACAGGCCCTGAAGTTTTCAGAGAAGGCTTCCTGGAGGAGCTGGCACTTGAACTGGCTGGAGGATGGGCTCCTGTCAGTCAAACAGAGATGGGGTGGAAGAAGAGTCTGTCCCTCCTTTCTACCTTCACAGGTACTTGGGAGTTTTATGAGTATATTGCAGAGATGCTTCACCAAGGCACTGACCTAAGATTTCTGTGCTTGGTACTGGCCATTGGTAACTGCAGAATTTTAGTTCTTTCTTTAATCTTTTTCTCCATTTCATCAGCGTTACATGGTGCCTGGGGAAATTGCACTGATAATTTGCATTTTGTTTGAGCAGCACCCAACAGGAATATAGAACACTCCACAGACTTTTCTGATTCTCATCTTAAACATCTTTCTTTAGTCCTTTAAACAGTTTGTTGAGGTTTAGAAAACCTTATGGAAAGTATCTCGGCAACTGAGTACACAATCTTTTTCTCAAATAGCCCATTTTGCTCTAATCCAATTAAAGTAGTGTCGGCAGGAGCAACAGGAAAAGCTCACGCTTGGTCTCTTTTCAAAAAAAGGAAGTTGATCACGTGGAAGCCAAGTTTTACCAAAATAGCTCACAATCAGGGGAACGTGTCAGGGCTGGGCCAGCATGGGTATTTTTGTTAAATATGTATTTTGTAGATCCTGTTAATAAGTGAACTATTTGTGACATTTATTTGGAGCATTTAGGGCTTTTGTGTTCCCTCCTCCAGATAACTAAGCCTTTATTTAGTGAGTTACAGATCTTTAATATCTTAGTGATTAAATGGCCTCTGTGATTTAAGGTAGCCAGTCCCCAAGCCACTTGACACATTCTTGAATGGAACATTTTCATGTCGGTGCCAGTATTTTACTATTGAGAAGACGGGAGTGATCGGTTTGCATCTGAAATAGATATTTTAATGTCATATTTCTTTAAAAGATTCATTATGTAATAATACATGTTTACTATGCATTCAGTTTGGTACATGTTGATTAAATACTGGATTTTTCCCAATAAAATTCAGAGTTTAGCACCTGCAGAATTCAGGGAGCCATACTAATTTTGGAACAAAGTTAGCCATTCTGAAGAAGTTAGTTGCAATGATTTTGAGATTTTGGGAGAGGATCCTAGTTTGCTCTTTTGCGTATTCTCTTTAATAAATCTCGTTCCAGTTGCCTCCTTTGAGATTTGAGTTCTTGAAACCAATAGGTACATAGTATCTAATAGCAGGATATAAAGAGTGATAAAATGAAATTATAAAAATCCCTTCTTGTCTTATGCCATTGGAGATACAAGGTGGTCCAGAGAACATGAGAGTCTAATTTGGGGGTTTTATTGACCAATAAAATGAACAATGGAGGAACAGCACAGAGTTGCTACATAGAACATTAAAAAGAGCTCCCTGCAGGGCAGACCCAGAAGATTCCACGTCATCAACCCCCTTCTCCTTCTCCGTGGTGCCAGTTTTGGTTTCTTATGAAAGAATTGAGAGGTTGCTTATTCTTGTCTTCCTCCTCGAAACTTTATTAAATGTTTTTAAGAGATTGAAGGGTGAGTTAATGTCCTCCCGCCTCACCTGGGTAGTTATGACTTGACACTGTTCATGTGCTGAGGAACATGTGGGCCACGATCCTGGGAACTCATCAACATGACCAGGCTTCCTGTCTGGCTCCAGCTTTTGCTGCCCGTCCTCTTTCAGTGTTGGGGATGGAGCCCAGGGCATTGCACATGCCAGCCAAGTGTTCTCCCCCTGAGCTGCACCCCAGAGCCCTGCTGTCTTTCTCTTAATCACCTTTCTCTAGAGGTCTTGCTCCATCTGTGTGCATTGAATGACAGATTACAAATTATATTGTTTTGCTCAAGGTGTACTTCAGTATTCTAAAGAGTGCCCCCAAAAGGCATTTTAAGTTTCTGGAGAACACTGAATAATAGAGTGATGTGGAGATTTTTCAGATCCTTGAATGGCAAATTCAAAGTTCTACCGATCAGTTTTAGAGAATGGGATCTCAATGGCTGCCAGATGGAAATGAATAGCATGGGTTTGTCCTTCTATTCTCTTATTCTTGGTCACCTTTTAAAACAACAGCAGGATGCCTGTATTAAAAATAAGGATAGAGACTGATGGTTTGATCACCATTTATTTTATTCTTTCTTGGTTTTATTTGTGGAAATAGGCTGCCCAGCGGGCATCTTCGTCCTCACCCAAATTGAGTGAAACATCGTGTTCTTTCTCTTCCCTGGAAAATACAATAAAGACGGCCAGCAGCGGTTCTTCCTCGGGATCTAAAGAAAGACAGTCCTGGCTGGACATCGTGAACAGCTCACCTGCTGCTGGAGATGTGGGGCACGCACTCGCCTTTGCCGTGCAGGTCCATGCCCCTGCACCCTCAGAGGCTCCCAGTTGCAAGGCCCTGGACACCAGCTTCGTCACATCCGAAAGTGGGTTTTTGAACTCTTTGTCTAGTGATGACACTTCTTCATTGAGTAGCAATCAAGATCATCTCACTGTCCCAGACAAGGCTCCTGGATCAAGGGTGATGGAGAAAGGTAAACTAAGAAAGCATTTACAATTATTTAGAGAATGTGTGTGTGTGTGTGTGTGTGTGTAACTCTAATGTGAATTTGTAACAGATGAGTGTGAATTTGTAACTCATGAATGGTGATTTAAATTTACATGATCAAGTGGGGCCAAGCCTCATGCTGCTTGGGAAGTTTCCCTGTGACAACTTCCATTGCCAGGTCACTAATGACCTGCTCTAAGTGTCATTAAACAAATGCTTAAAAGAGAGACATGTGGTCATGATATAATATCTTTCCACTAGTTTAAGGAAAAGATTGACTCTAATTTTGGTTCCATTCTCTGGAGCTCGTGAGAGTTAAGTGGGGAGGGGAAGAGAAATGGCCCATTGAGGAATGAAGGGTGAAGATCAGATGATGGGATTGAAAGAGGAGACTGAGGCTGCCTCAGACTCAGGACCTGTCATTGTGTGGACCAAGTATTGGGCTTACTTGTGTCTCCTTGGAAGTGTAAATTAAGGTCAGTGGTACAAGTGAAAAAGAGGTACTAGGTTCAGCGTAAGAATCTTCTTTTTGATTTCATGAGCTGTCTGTATAGAGCAGGCTCCTTGGAAGGTAATGCGTCCTTGTCTTTGGAGGTATTTCTTTATTCTGAGAGAACTATTTTCATTGAATATTGATTACCGATTGCATATTGATGGCAATTTTTGTTCTTATGATATAATGAAGAGAGAATTTAGGTATCTTGATTTAAATGACCTCAAATTTGATGCTTAGAAAAATCCTTTCAGATAGAGGATTTGGATTGAAGAAAATAATAAAAAGTACTACATCTATTATAGCTATTATTTTCCTGTTAAAAATTCTTACTTTAATCTATGAGTAGAACTAAAAAAGTTTCCGACACCTCCCCTCCACTCACCCCCATATAATGAGCATAGTTTCCTAAGCACCATAGATACTAAAATTCCTTTTATAGTCTTTCCCAAGAGATAACCCTGCAGATGGAGAGTTTTCCTTTAGGATCCATAGCCTGAGAGTCATGGGAAGATGAATGCAGTTCTCGTCTCTGTCTAAACGCCATCCTGGGAATGCAAGTGCTGTGGAGCTTGGCAGGGCATCAATAGCTCTTTTAATCTAAGAATGAGGAAACCTGGTGTTCTTTAGCTTTGAATTACATGCAGAGTGACCAATAAAATCTGGGTGCTTCTTGGAACAGCTTGAGGTGAGGGTGCTTCTCTCAATAGAGAGGAAGAGAATATGGAAGTATTTTCCCCTCACTGATTTGTTAGCGGTTACTTACTATGTGTTACAGAATTTTTGCTGATGATTTTCTCCTGCTGCTGAGGATTTGATCAAATTCCCCAAAGAACTGAACCACATAAAGTCATCTCTATGGAAACGCAGCCCAGCCTTTGCTTGTATTTTTGATGACTTGCTGTTGAGTAATCAAATTGCATATTGTGTATTTTCTTAACGTGTTTGCATGTTGGAGAAGAAGGTAGCTTTTCATTCTTGTGACTTCTAAACAAATATTGGTTTTGAGTTGCCAGTGGAAAAAAAAAACCAAAAAAACAAAAAGCCCTGGAATTTCTGTGTCTGAAACACTGCTCAGGGTGTTTTTCAGGAATTGGAGTTTCTACAAGGTCCAAGATAGAAGTTAAATTTTCAGATTAATTTTTAGATTCCCAGTCTCAAGATGTGTTTGCTGGAGAAAGAGGTTTTTATCCTCAAAAAGATGTTTAAAGGTTAATAACTGAGTCCTGAAACAAGCAGACAGCATGTATTATAGCCTTTCTTTTATTTAAACAATGAAAGAAATATTTTGCAGTTGGTATGCAATTAAAATTGTGCTTGCTAGAATTTGATACTGAATTTAAAACTCCTTGTAGACATTTCTCCCTGTAGTGAAAGCTATTAAAAAAAAGAGGGTGTTAATTGCATCATATTGCTTTTCTACTCTGCAGAGTTTCAGACTTTCAAGCTCTAGGGATTCATCATGGTCTTCATCATGGTAGCGGGAAGAGAGGTGATGAGGTTAATGGAGTGCTTGTCGCATCTCAGCGTCACTCTGGGATCTGCCTTTCTTTTTCAAGTGATATTTTGGCCAGGGCCATGCCTGTGGTGGTGAATCACAGGGTGCATCACTGCATACGTATGTACAACGTGTGCTACCTGTGGACAATGTGGACAAGGTCACTCTCACTCAGTGAGGAGGAACCATACCCCCAATGCTGAAAAACTGCAGGTTAACTGATAAAACTAAAGCTCAACTGGTGTAGGCCCATTTCCAAGTGCAAGTACAGCCAGAACTGCGAGTCATGTCGGTTACAAGCTGAATAGAAAGATTGTTAATGAAGAGACGAGCATTCTAGAGCATGCATGACATCTCTGAGCCAGATTTCAGGACCTGAAGGACATTAGAAAAAATTATGCACAGTCTGAGTGTGGACAGTACAGATGCTACATTATTTTAGCTGGCTATTTGGAATGTGGCTGTAGGAATTATGTGGTATGCCTCTTCAGGAAATGAAGAAACAACAAAAATAAGCCCCTACTGAGCTCAACTCAAGTTAGCATTATTATTATTATTTAGTATCTAATATGTACTCGTGTACTTTGTGCTAAAGGGAATCCAAAGATGAGCAGGATACAGATTCTGTTCTAAAAGACTTATAAAAGTCTAATGGAGCACGTGGGAGGAATCAGTCACATCTAACGCAAGAAATCAGAATAAAATGGGTGCCACCAGGGAGCTACAAACAGAACACCCCAGCTGGTCACACCTAAGGGGAAGGATCTGTGCATTTAGAGGGGAGACACAGGCAAAGGAGACTGAAAGGAAATCCTGGTGATGCTGAATGCTGAACCAGGCCTTAGTGAATTATGATATATAATTGATAACCATTTCTAATTATGGTAATCATATAAATAAAGCTATGATTTAGAAAAGTTATCCTAGCTGTAGGATGTAGGGTACAAGAGAATAAGAGAAGGAAGAGACCAAGAGGAATTAGGAAGCTTCTGTGCCCTACCAGGGTGTAGACTGGTCATGGTCTCTGCATACTTAGAACTTAATTTAGTCCCTAGAGTATTTCCTAGTGTTCCTGAGTTTTGAAATGTAATTTGAGAATCTTAAAATGGAAATGAATATTTAACACCGTGAAAATAATCTGGTCTGAATGGCCATTGGCCTCAATAGCATGGATCTCAGGCATGGAAGGATTACCACTGATTTCACTGTTCCCATGTCAAGTGGCTGAAGATCCCCATGAGTGGTCACAAAAGAACCTGGTTAAGTCACCTATATTTTTGTGTAATCTAAACAGGTCATTTGAAGTCCGCAGACTTTTATCTTTGTATCTTTTGTTGTCGTTCTTATATTCTACAACTTTTCCTGAGACAGGGAGTTATGGGATAGTGAAAGGTTATGGGAACTCAATGGAGCAAGGGTTTTGAAGCTGCTGACTAGTGAAATCTGGACTTCGGGGGCATACAGACTCAAATGACAGGTAGGAAGAAGTAGGAGGGGTCAAAGAACGGGAGGTCATGACCAAAGGTGAAAGATAAATAAGTTCAGAAGAGAGAAAATGTGGTTAAGGTGAAAGAGGATGTTTGTACTCCGAAAGAAGTAAACTTAGAGTTGACATTTAGATGTAAACAGTTCTAGGAATGGAGAAAGGTGCATTAAAAATGATGTGCTCTGGTGCTGGGGTTGTGGTTCAGTGGTAGAATGCACGCCTTGCATGTGTGAGGCCCTGGGTTCAATCCTCAGCACCACATAAAAATAAATAAAGGTATTGTGTCCATCTATAACTTTTTTTTTATTGGTTGTTCAAAACATTACAAAGCTCTTGACATATCATATTTCATACATTAGATTCAAGTTGGTTATGAACTCCCAATTTTACCCCAAATACAGATTGCAGAATCACATCGGTTACACATCCACATTTTTACATAATGCCCTATTAGTAACTGTTGTATTCTGCTACCTTCCATCTACAACTTAAAAATATTTTTAAAAATTGATGTGCTCTGGTGTCAAGAGCTCAAGATGTACCACTGCTTGTGGCCACAGGACCACAGAGCCTGGCCACAGGTTCCACAGGACCCAGAACGGCAGGTTCATTCCAGAGAGAAACCACGCCTGCCCTTACAAAACAAGGCTTGAAGCCCACCTTTCTCTTTCAGTGCTACCAGAATTGTGTTTTACCAATATTGTGTTTCAAGCAGTCACATTTGTGTAGAGTACAGGGAAAACACTGTCTTTTGACGTACACAATTATACCTCTTTAAATGACGGCTGTGCTGTGTTTTTGTTTTTAGACATTCTCTCACTTACTTTTCTTTCTTGGGCTTTGCCTGCAGTGCAATATTGATATAAACGGTGATTATGGGCATTTTTGTGGTGTGCTTTCTCAAACAGGAAGTTTTCAGTGTTTCCCCACTACCAACAACTTAGAAATAAAGTATTTTATTTTCACCTCTACTGTATGATGAAGAAACTGGGGCTTACTGTAGTTAGGCAAATCGCTTAAGATGGTCATGCAACGATGGGAGGGTGAAGGGTGTGTTCTGTTTGACTCTAGAGCCCGAGATTTTAATCACCCAAATATTCAAAATAAATAATCAGCAGGAGCCAGGGTTAAGTTAAATAGGTGAATCAAGTCACATTTCACGGAATAATTTCCCTCTTTAGACAATCATTCTGTAACACGTGTTTCTGCAATTACTAGTGAAGCAGTGCAGGTCAGCCAGTGATAGGAACAGAAGCATTCGAGCACTACGTGACACTTCAGGGTCCGTAGACTTTGTCTATTCAAAAATATTTATCAAGTGCCTCTTCGTGTCACGTACTGGCCCATGTTTCTGTTCTAAAAGACTTCTAAAGGTCTAATGGAAAAGAATGTACACTGGGAAAAAAGTGAACAGAAGGCAAAATAAATACCCTCATGGTGCCGATGTTGAGGGGAGACTGGGAGGGAGATAATAGGATACAGCAGGTCAGTACTAATGTCTCCAGGGGT